ATAATAGTAATATAAATACAATTAATATTATTATAACGATATTATTATATTAATATTTTTATTACAATAATATAATAATAATAATATGATTATTATTATAATTAGTATTATATTATTATAATATTATATTATATTTATAATTATAATCATAATTATAATTATGATTGTAATTATAATTATTATAATTATAATTAATTACAATTATAAATATAATTAATTATAGATATAATTATAATAATTACAATTGATTATACTTATAATTATAAGAATTATAATTGTAATTATAATTATAATTACATATAATTATAATATAATATTATAATAATATTAATCATATTATTATTATTATTATAATGTTGTAATAATAATAGTCTTCTTAACAATTGCATTTATATTACTATTATTATATTAAAATATTATAACTATTATAAATATCTTTTTATCATATTATTATTAATATTATTAATAATAATTATATAATAATAATCATAATAGTAATAACAATAATAATAATAATAATAATTAATATTTAATATAATAATAAAAGTGATAAATCATGTTTGAACTTTTCTGATCTGATCTGATCTGAATGTTTCTGATCTGATCTGAATGCTTCTGATCTGGTCTGATCTGATCTGAATCTTTCTGATCTGATCTGAATCTTTCTGATCTGATCTGATCTGATCTGAATCTTTCTGATCTGATCTGATCTGATCTGAATTTTTCTGATCTGATCTGATCTGATCTGAATTTTTCTGATCTGATCTGATCTGATCTGAATAAAATAAGAATAAGCAATAAGTAATAAGAATAAGACGAACAGAACAGCACCTTAAAATAGTACAGCATTTAATCCAGAATAGGAACTAATTTAGTTGTCTTAATAATTACTCCGTATAAGAAAACAACTTAATTAGGCATGGCAATGGGTCGGGGCGGGGCGGGTATTGCAAGAACCGGACCCGTCCCGTGCCTTGGCGGGGCGGGGCGGGGCCGCCCCGCCCCGTGATCTGCACGGGTCCAAACTTGTTGACCCATGACTCGCCCCATGCAGGGCGGGGCGGGGCGGGTCCGCCCCGCCGCAACCTAATTAGCTAGTTTTTATTTTTATTTGTAGGAAGTTGTTACCAATTGAATCTACATAATGTTTATCTCTAAATAATAATTAAAACTCAATATATTAAATCAAATTTATGATATGCTAAAAATTTCAAAAATTAAGAAAAAATTACTCAAACTTGAATAGTTAATCTAATTAGTTATATTAATAATTGAATAAATGTATTAAAATTCTATATATATAAAGAAGACATTGATAATCCGTCGTGCATCTCATTCTAATATATATTCATATATTATAAGATCAAAGAATTTATGATTTACACACACATATGTATGTTGAAGTATATTTGTAGTATAAGTTAAGAAAAAGTATGTATATTTATATATTGAGCGGGTCGGGTCGGGGCGGGTCGGGGTGGGGCGGGGCGGAACGGGTCAATTCTAATACCCAGACCCGCCCCATTGTATAGGCGGGGCAGGGCGGACCCGCCCCATTTGCAAGACGGGGCGGGGCGGGCCCGCCCCAAATGTCTCGGGCCAGGGTGGGTCATTGCGGGTCGGTTTTTTTTGACATCCCTAAACTTAATCATTTGCACTCACATAAATATATTTCCTTTTGCGCTTAATTTTGGCGTTCTTCTTCATTACTGTACTGCAAGTCTGCCACCATCCTTTTGGGAAAACTGTCAAATAGATTTTCGAACTTTCATAAAAAAAATCAATTAAGTCCTTCTATAGGAGACTCTGTCCAGCCGTCGCGATATGGGGCAGTTCCCGATGGAAATTTTTTATGAAATTTTTCGAGCATCTTATTCATCAAGTCTAGTTTATTCATACCAAATTTGAGTTAAAAATTCAATCGGGAACACATTCAAATTAATTCTTGAAGATAACTGCGCATATTTGCGTTCTCAAATTAATTTGAATGCATTCTCAATTGAATTTTTAGCTGAAATTTGGTATGAGTAAACTAGACTTGATGAATAAGATGCTCAAAAAATTTCATCAAAAAATTCCACCGGGAACCGCCCCAAATCGCGACGGCCGGATAGAGTCTCCTATAGAAGGACTTAATTGACATTTTTATGATAGTTCGAGAATCTATTTGACAGTTTGCCCCCATCTTTTTCAATATATAACACTTATAGGAATAAAGGGAACCCTTCTTACGATTAGAACACTTTTATTTTAACAACTATTAATATTTACACTTTATTGTTTTCAACCAGTGTCTAACAATTAAAAGTGTCATTTCTATAATTAATCTCAATTAAAACATGGGTTGTTTGCAATAATTATAATTATGTTTTTAAACTACTAAACGATGATCATTCCAACATTTTACCGTTTTTACGCAGAAAACGCCGAATAACAAACACCCCCTATACCCTCTTGGCTATTGATAATATTTAGATTAGTTTCCTTCATTAAAAGGTGCATGACTAAAAACAAAATTAAAAGTTTCACAGTATCGCACGAATTTACACATATAAAATCAAGGCTCAAATGTTGTTATGTACTACCTCTCTGTGCCGTTGGAAAGTTCTCATAGCAAAACGGCACAGTTATTTAGACAATAATCAAATAAAGTACTTCTAGTATATTTTGAGAAATAATTTATATATATATATATATATATATATATATATATATATATATATGGAGCGGTTCAAATGAGAACACTCCTTATTGTGAGAAATGAGAACAAATCTTAACCATAGATCTTAGTAAATTAAAGGTCATAAAACGATGAGGTGCACCAATGTATGGTGGGAGTGCAAGCATTTTAAAAATACCTTTATACTCTCTAATTTATACGAAGGTTAGCAAAAGCGCACAACAGTAATATTCAACGATTCTATTAATGGGGTAACCGTTGGTGGCAACCACTTATCAAAAAAATCGGTAGAAATAAAACCACTTACCAAATAAATATATTTAGTTTAAAATTGATTTAACTTTTAAAATTATAATTTGATTTTAACAAAAATTATATCAAATTAAATAACTTTTTTTTATCTTTCATATGACACCAATATTGAATATATAATCTTTTTTTTTAAGTATAATATGCATACAATAAACCACAACAAACATCTTCATCTACCCGCACACAAAAACATGTATTTAACACACAACCACAAATATCTAACGCCCAATTACAAGTGTCCAGCGCACAATGAGTATAAGAAAACACTAGAATAAGTATTTTAATCACAAAATTCAATATCTAATGCACAATGAGTAAAAACAAAGCAATACTTTAGCACATAAGGGCTTTATAAAACTTAAAGCCCTTACATGATTTGTTTGTGTGCTAAATACGAGTTCTTGTGCGGTAGCAAGAGATGTTTATATTTATTTGTTCTATACATATATGCTGCTCTGTAATGCACATGAACAGTTATGTAATTTATTTGCTTTTCTATCTTACCCACTAGGGCTGGACTCGGGCCGGGTGGCCCGACCCGGGACCGAACCGGCCCGGTCACTGTTTGGCCCGGCCCGTGGCCCGGTGGGTCCACTGGTTCGGTTTGGCCCGGTCCGGGTGCTGGGCGGTCCGGGCTCGGGCCCAGGTTTTGGTGAACCGGCCGGTTCGGGCCCGGTCCGGGCCGGATTTTAATTTTTTTTTTTTTTTGAAATTTTTTTAAGTTTTAGGTTGGATTAGGTATTTTGGGTCATTTGAGGTGGTTTGGGATGGTTTGGGGTTGAGGGGGAGGGGTAGGGGATTAAATAGGAGAACAAAAAAAAAAAATTAATTGGGCCGGTTCGGCCCGGCCCGGCCCGGCCCGGTTTGGCCCGGAACCGGAACCGGAACCGGCCACCGGCGGTTCGGGCTCGGGCCTCCCCTTTCCTGGCCCGAGGCCCGGCCGGGCCCAGGCCCGAACCGGGCCCGAACCGGCCCGAGTCCAGCCCTATTACCCACTAACGTATTTCATTTGCATCATGAAGAGATTTCTATATATAATTGCTAAAGTCAACCAACGTGAGGAGTTTAATACAATTTAATGTTTCCATTATTACCACACAACGTATTAATTGGAGGATTGGTTTAACAAGTGTAAGACGTAAATACCCCCTACTAGCCTTTACTTGATCGCAAATAGGCATACATTTTGAATGATTGAGATTTGTTCTCACTTCTCACGTTAAAGAGTGTTCTCATTTGAACCAAAATCTATATATATATATATATATATATATATATATATATAATCCCAGTGCAAGCCATCCAAGGATGGGGTAGGGACCGGGGAACACCCTACCTATTTATTAATAAGGAAAGATACACAGTATGAGGACATAAGACCGAGCCTACCAAGAATGTATATTATAAAAGTGATGTTATAAACTTATAAATGTACTACATACGTATTATTTTTAATATTTAATGATTAATTTGTCACTTAATATTATTAATTATTTCCTGAAATGGAAATGGGAACCTTTATATGGGACGTCCAAAAAATGAAAGTGAGAACCTTTTAATGTGACGGAGAGTAGCTTATTTTGTTTATGCAGCTTATAATTATTACCACGCATCTTTTAACTATTTTTGTATTCTTTAACATTGTAAAAACGGTTATTTTTGTAGGATCAATTCAAGCAAATTCGTGCATTTGAAATTTCAGTAAACTAACCTCATTAAAAGCGACTCTCTTTAAACAAATGCATCTATTATAACAAGAAAACAGCTAACCAACGATCAAAAAAAGAAAACAGCTAACCAAACACTTGATAGTTGATTCACATTAATGTGCGTGGAAATATGCACTTTAAAATCTCACATCCTGGCTAATACGTAGAACGTAGTAGTTGAGTAGATGGTTCTAGTTTTATTCTTCTATTTAGGGGTATTATTATGAAAACTTTCTTTGATGGCTACAATTGTTATAGTCTGTACATTGAGTCAAATTTTGTGGGTTGGTCTATTATTACTTGAATTGCAGTCATTAGACCAAAGCTGTGGGTGGTTTCTTAACCAGTCTACATTTGTTATTTTCTTTAAAAGTTAAGATTATCCCTTAGAGTAATAACAAGAAGTCAAGAATACATGATAATGAACCTCTCTTGTGCACAGGTACAAGGTCTACCATCATTGGGCCGACTGAGTCACCGAGAATTACAACCTCCCAAAAGTCTTGTCGGGTCGGGACGTGGGGGGCCCTTTGGGGTTGGGGATTCAACCCTTTGGAAGAAAGAATACATGATAATGGAATTGCAGGAAACAAAAAGGATATCTTTCACTGTTTATAATAACCCCTTAGTAAAACATGCTACCATATAAACCTTTGGACCCCAGATTCATGATGGGACCAGGAGAATGGCCGAAACAAGAACATGAACATCGTGAAGCAGTTAACAGCAGCGTACATCACTCCCATTAGAATCCAACTCCTGTTGTCATTGACATGGGAATGGAGAATCAGAAAGAAGAATGGAATGGTATAGTATCTGAACTCTATTAGAGGGGCAGGAATTAGGGTAGCTGCAGTTGCCAACAAGTATCCCACCACCCATAGTTTCTTCTGTCTTTTTCCTGCAATTAAAAAAACACAATGATTGTAAGGGTCATTCAAGACTCAATCTTCTGAATTGTCTGTTCTAAAAGAAGAGTAATAAAACTATTTCCCGTAACTAAAAGCCTGTTTGTAGCAAAAAGTTGCATATTTTGATTTTTTCTGCATTAAGAGAACAATCAGAATAAGTAGCTGTGCACTGCTTATTTTGGAGATTCTGCTATTATGTGGATTGTGGATAAAGCAAAAGAAGTCATATTTGGCTGCCAAAAGGGATCTAACATTCTCCACCATGAAACCAAACACTAGAAGAGTGAATATAACTGACCTAACACGCTCAGGATTGAAAACCACATATAAGTGTAAAGTGGAACGAGAAGGTACTTCATTGACCAGTGACGATTTAAGACTTTCCTCCAAAGATAAAAGGGATAGTGGCGATTATCAGCCAGGAGGTATGGATGAGCAATGCTGCAAAGTAGAAGGACATACTTGTTACTTATTTTTGACAGGTTTGAAAAATCACATGCTCCTTCAATCTAATTAAAAGGCTTGCATGACATTCCCAATAAGTCAAAACCTTAGTCTTTTTTTCAAAACTAAAACTTTTGCAATCCGTATTAAAAAAATTATCACAAATATCCTGTAAATATTTGTACCCCCCCCCCCCCCCCGCTGCAGTGTATTTATTTTATCATCTTAATTAATGCATCTTCTAGGAATATTCATTTTGGCTATTATCAGCAGTAGCCTTCCCTTTTATGCTATCCAGTTTCATGAAAAGGGGTAGTTGTGATAGCTTTTCATGTTTCTGTAATTCTGTTTATCTGGTGATAGCCTTCTCATGTTTCTGCTTATCTTGTGATAGGTTCTTAACAAATACGATAGTATAATTCACTTGTAATTGATTGTGATTTCATACTTATTAGTATTCTATCTTCTTTTCTAAAACAAAATGAATATTGTACTTTTTTGGTGATTAATCTATTTAAAAACTATTTTACCTCATTTTTTTGTAATTGTTTTATTAAAGTTCACGGTATAATGAAGAATAAGTAAATTTAAAATATAATGCCATACACATTTAGTACAGGTAGCTTTTATTCATGTCTACAACTGACTTTTTACATATTAAATTATTAACGATTACAGGGGGCTTTACCCAAAAAAGAAAACGATTACAGGGGGCTCTGTCTAAATGCAGGTTAAAATATCTATTTCATTTCACCAAATTCTCCTTCCAGTGGACCCAATTGTACAAAATCAGTTCAAAAAAAGTAAGAGGGATGGAGGGGGAGGGGGGAGAAGTGGTAAATAAGAAAAGTCAAAGTTTGTAGTGTTCAAATTAGGAAAGTGGACATTATTTATGAATAGACCAAAAGAAATGTAAAGAGATAATATGGAGCAAAGGAAGTGTTGTTTTCACGGCTTCACCTACCTGAAAAAATGCACTGATATGAAGCCAACAGTCATGGCTATGGACAACTTGAAGAGGCTAATCAGTTTATTTTTCCAGAATAACTGAGCTAGCAGTACAAATTGTGTAAAAGAGAAGTGAACAGGTGGCATTAAAAGGGCGGAAACCAAACTGAAATACAGGACCTGTGCAAAATGGGGAGAAACAGCATGAGCTTCCTTTGCACCTGCAAGGAAGTTTCAAGGATGAACTCCAACTTAACCCTTGTATCAAATATATATGTATATTTATATATATATATATATATATATATATATATAAAATAAAAAACAGAGAGGGAAAGAGTTTGGATACCAAGAACTATACTCCCATTCCAGTGAACAAAAATGACAAAAACCACCAAAGTGATAAAGAACGGACTAAAAGAAGCCAAAAGATCCCACTTCATATTCCAGGATGATGAAATAACTGCCCTTATATCATCAAACAACTCTGCAAATTCCAAAAACGATCGGTTGCCATCAGCTAACCATAAATTAAGGCTCTGTTTAGTTGATCCAATTGGCTTATTCTGCAAAATAATCAGAATATGCAGCCATTGACTTAGTGGGCTGAAATTGATTTTACCAAATGCTTTCCATTCAGAAAATTCAGCAAATGAAGTCCTTTAGGAAAATAAACCTTACCAAACGGGCCCTAAATGACACCCCTAAGAATATGCAAATTCAAAATGATGATTCTTAAAGGAGTATCTATAATAAGACCTGCTTCTGATGGAATCGCTGAATAAAAAGTTATTTGACTACTGACCTGATGCATGGTGCGGGGAACTGAGAGTTGTATGGCTACTCAAACGGCTTTTTTTATTAGCATGATTAGCAACAGCTCTTCGTTTTCTCATGTTTGATCTCTGATTAGAGGTTACTGTCTCTTCCTGAACTAGTTCATTGGAGACAGCATACTCCCTGTTGTCCTTCTGACGATCAAGCGCATAATCTAAAATCCCTGTGCATGCTATGAATATCATCCACACAATATTTGTTTGTCGCACAATAACAGCCAAAGCACTGAGCTACAAAGAAGATATGGGTTAGAGTTTGAGCTTAAAAATAGTCTTTTAAGTCCTTGTTTGGTTGAAAGATTTTGGAAGGGATGAGTAATACTTATGAAGCATGAAACTCTAGGGAAAGAGGATGTGCCTGTTTCAGAAACTCTTTAGAAACTCAAAAAACACTTGTTTTTCTGCTAAATGTTGGTGTTCCCCGTTTCATATTTCCCCATCTTTCCCACCTTTCCATGTAACATGGGTAATACTTAACTAATTTATTTATTGTTCCGCTTAAATGGTTGGAAATAAAAGTGAAATACTATAAATATATTTACATGTCTGGCATAATACTTAACAATATAGATAAATTAGTAAAACAAAAAAAAAAGAGTCCTCCCCTTTCTCTCCCCTCTGAAATGCCCCGAACCAAACAGGCAAACACACCCTTATAATCGAACCGAAACCAAAATAGTTTTGGCATTGGTACAAGTAAATATCAAAACTTGATTCCAAAAGTAAGAGACAAACACCTTTGCATATTATTTCTAGATGTTACACAAATAATGAAAATATAAATTATGAGTTGGTAGCTGGATAGGCTTGTTCTGCTTATTTAAGTAGCTTTTCACTTATTTAATAATTTAATTGGCAGAAATTTATGTGATGGATTTTGCCACACTTTTCATTTCAGAAACTCTAAGCTAATTCAGCCGCTGTTTCAGCCAAATAACCCTTCCTGAACAGGATCTATATGATGAACCTTGGTTTTCTTACCAATGCACTGGAGGGATAGTTCTTCTTGAGACTCATAAGGTAAGAAGCGAGAACTGCAGCTAGTGATGCTACGTCAGTATAATAAAGAAAGGTGAAGAACCAGTGAAGGGGATATAAAGCTAAGACAATTGCCTGAAGAGATGCCTTTGTGTCACTTACACCTGGCGTTAGATGGGTGATTATATCATAAAACAGAATACTGCTAATCACAGCTAAAACTCCATTGACAAGACGCAAGATCGGAGTGGAACAAGTTTCTGAAAATGATGAGACCACTTGCATGGAGAATAGCCCTGGAAATAAAGAAGCAACATGGGCAAGTGACACAATGTACCTGCAGGGACACATCAACTTTTTTCATCAATTGAATAAAATTTAATTACCATCAAACATAGTTACAGTGATATTTTGCTTTTCAATTTTCTCTATTTTCCCCAATTGATGAGTAGCAGAACAATATACAAAATATTCTAGTAATGCAATACTCCCTGAATTCCTACTTATCTGTCATTATTGACAAAACCACCCAATTTAAGAAAGTACATTGAATTAATAACTTAATCAAAACTTCTAATATTTGAGATAAATCTCCATGTGTAATGCATGAATAATTGACTACAACCGATTTAATATGATTGTTATAAGGGTATATTTGGATTAAAAAACACTTGATGTGCATAGATTTTATAAAAGGGGGGAAAAGGAACAAGCAAATTGGCTCGAAGACTGATAAATGAGAGCTAAATCTAAAATACCCATACTGAAGCATTCATAATAAAGATTAAAACTTTTTTCTTCATTTGATATAAATGGTGTTTCAGTTCTATGGGTGTTGTGAATAGGCCAAAGATAGAACAGCTTTAAATCGTCAATTGGCGCAATTTCAATTGAAGATAACCTAACAGAGGTGAAGCAAGGTCTCACAAGCCAGGAAGAGTGGTAATCATTGGATCCCAACTTGTGAAATTGCCTTTGCAGTACTTTTGAGCTTGAGGGATATGAAATATTTCATCCTGCGCAACCAAAATCAGGATAAATCTTGCACTGTGTTAATTTGAAAAGAAAATTGTGTTAATAAATACATTACGAACCATGTAAGGATCTGGGACAATGCGATTGACAAGAATGGATAAAGGTATCACCCAGAAGCTTACAATCAGTGCAACTGCTATTCTCCCCATTTCCACTCTTTCTCTCCACAGCCACGTTGGGAGTAGTGGCGTATCCAGGCTCGGAAAATATATTGTACGGTCCTCTGCGACGTGCCGTTTGGTTCGATGTGCAGAAAGAAAAAAATGAAAACAAGCCGCAGAAGCAATGTCCAGAATGAACAGTGATATCTTATTCCGTTCGTACCCATTTTAAATGGAGATTAAATGAAAATCCCTTTTAAACTTTTCAAGAACCAAATACTAAATTATTTTCAATATGAAATTATTGCAAGTTTTTCTTATATATAATGATAATGATAGTTTTGATAAATTGTTATTGACAAATTTACTAGATGTAAATATTATAGACAAAAGTTTGTGTTATGTTCGAATGAGTATAATGATTAAAAGAAATGAGCATACATACAGAAATATTATTTGAGCACATCAGAAATATTATGTTTGGTGTGCCTGGCGAGTTTCTTCCAGCAAGAGCATGGACCGAGCTTTCTCGAATGTGGGTAAGGGTTCAATTTGCTGGATGAAAGAAGCTACTGTGGCATAGGGTGCAGTGAGGCCGTTCAGCAAACGTAAGATTAAACGTTTGTCATTGACCTCGGCATCCACGTTAGCAAGTTGAGTGGAAATGGTTTGAAGCTCCTGGCAGTAGGCGGATATGGAGGGAAAATTCGCCAATCAGGTATGAGAAAAGAGATCCTTCAGATGCACGGCTCGAGAATTCTTGTTGTCATGAAACAGATCTTTCAAACTAGTCCAAGCGGTGAAGGCGGTGGAGTCGGGGTTCAGGATGGTATGCAAGAGGCCGGGAGATATGGTTTCGTAGATCCATTGGAGTACAACGACATCGATACGATTCCACAAAGCTGTTTCTTCGGCTTGGCGGAGACGTTCTTCGTCAGAGATAGTGGACGATTAAGGAGGCGGTGTGGTTTCGCCGTCGGAGAAAGGTGGTCAAGAACATCGTATGCACGGGTTGTGATTTTGAACAATTCAACTCATGATGAATATTGCACTTTTTTCGTATCAAGAGTAAGGGGAATAAGGTTCTTGATAGAGGTAATGGCGAGGGCGGGGTGGAAGGAAGAAGATTTGGGAGGTGCAACCATTAATAGACAGGCCGAAAGGAAAGAAAAAATATACTCTGATACCAAGATGGAATGTATAATTCGCCGTCAGGCTATCTTTCTATTCATTGAATATTTATACAATTGTACAATGCTTATCTCTTTACAAGATACATTCGTGTATGAGTAAACTATGTATCTAAGTTTGGTATACACTGGAGAGTCTTGCGGATGAGTATAGGAACAATAATGAGATAATATTGTACATATTAATTAATAAGATAAATGCTAAACATAATATGTGCGGCCACCCGATGCATACGTATGCATGGGCATGCATATGTAGTATGTGTGCTATTACAATTGAGCATTTGAATTTTTTATGCTCATTTTGTAAGTTACTTATGCTCATATAGTATTAATTTTATGCTCATTTTAAAATATCAAATCAGTTTATATTTCAAAATTATCATACGTATCCTTTGACCAACACATGTATCACTAGATAAGTATATCACTATGTGTGTGTGAGGGTGTGTCGTAGAAGTTGCTGAAGAAGGAGGAATGGGTGACGACGAAAGAAGAAACGCAGCCTATTGCCCCACCGGATTCCTACTGCCAGAAAACGAAACAAGCCAGAGAAAGAAGTGGGCTGCCCACCTTAATGCCTAGAGAAGAAATGCCACCAGATTGTTAGATAGTGAGAGTTAGCTGTCATGTTATGCGTTTGGTTACTACTGTAGGCTAGAGCGGTGGGTTGCGTTGCCGGAAGGAGATGAGAGCCTTTGATTGGCTAATGAAGTTACGTATAATGTAAGGTAATGTTTCCAATTACGTAAAAAACTATTATAGAATAAATGTTGCTAACTCAACCTGTTAAACACGCCTTCTGGAACTAGAAAGAGAGGTAGACGGTGACTCCTTTTTTCATTCCACCTCATCACCACAACTCACATCCATATTTCCGTCAAAGAATGGAATTTTACCCCAATGTGACATGGCAATGCATTTTAAGCAATCCATGTTTCCATTAAAGATGTTATGAGTCATCTCACGAGGCGCTTACCGCATTGTCATATCACAACGAGGGACAAGAGGCCGAAAAATACTGGCTGAGCTTTCGAACTCAAAACACTTAGTATCACTTCTTAAGGACTTCATGCAACCAAACTAAATTAAACCATGTCCATGAACAACACCTTAGCTAGGAACACCTAAGTGATGGGCTTTTATGCCTGGGATGAGAGGCACAAGTCCTCTCGCCCTAGGGCCCAAAGACCAAGCTCTAACCAAGGGCAAAAGTTGATTCTTAGATGACCCGCAGCCTAACAACCTGTGCCCGGTCAACAATGAGCAACCCAAAGATGGCTAAAAAGAATATATAAAAATAAAAAAGAGGGGAAGTGAGGACACGACTCATCATTATTCTCGTGTAAAGTGAAAAACATATCTCCCAACTTATCATTCATCGGACGACCGGTCATCCTCCCTCCACTTGGATGATGACCACTACTTAGAATTTCGATTGACCTTCAGCGATGACGTTCTCAAGTCATGAATGGCCTCCTTAGCACCGTCATCTTTATTTCAAGCCCAGATCTCAACGCTGATGCCTTGACCCAGCATTCGGGCTAACAATTCCATTCATGTATGGTGACCATTGCATTCATATCATGAACGACCTCCTTAGCATTGTCATCTTTACCTTAAGTTTGGTTATTACTCCCAGTGCTAACGTCTTGATGTCATGATCGGTTCCATTTCCTTCCAGGATGGCGACCATCTTGTTCATATGATGATCAGTCCCTCAGCGCCATCATCCTCATATTGTGATTGGCCCGTCAGAATAATACTCTTTCGATCGGGCCCTCAGTGTCGTCATCACGATCTTAAGACCTGGCTCGCTCAGTCCTTTTCACGATGGCAATCGTCATCTTCATATGATGATCGTCCCCTCAATGCCGTTGTCATCATATTGCAAACCGGCCTGTCAGCGTCGTCTTCCTCACAATACAACAGACCCAGCAACGCCGGCTTAATCATCTTTTGATCGAGCCCTCCATTGTTGTGATCTTATGATCGGTCGCACCCACTCCCTTCCAAGACGGTGATCGACATATTTATCTCAAGACGGGCTCCATTCTTGGATGTTCATGTTTAGACAAGCTCACAACGCTGACGTTCACATATCACCGTTGGCCCCTCAATGTCGGCGTAATCATCTTTCGATTGGCACCTCAGCACCAACATAATCGTCTTACAAGTTATGACTTGATCCTTAGTGTCATCATCGTTATCTTATGATTGAGCTTGCCCATTTCGTTCCCAGATGTCGATCCCCATACTTATGCATTTGTACCAACCTCTCAATGCCGACGTGATCATCTTACGATTGACTCCTCACTGCTGACTTCCTCATATTATGACCGACCTCTCAGAGCCACAGTAATCCTCTAATTTCTTTATTACTCCCTCTGTCCCTGAAACAACTTCCCACTTTTCTTATTTGGATGTCCCTAATTTAACCTCCCATTTCCTTAAATGGCAAATTATCTACATCAAAACAATGCAAAACAGTGTCAAACAGTGCCGAACAGTGTCGAAACAGTGTCAAAATAGTAAAATTTACCCCCTGGTAAGTTTATTTCCTTAATATGTGTGTAGGTCAAACGGGGAAGTTGTTTCGGGGACGGAGGGAGTATTAAACAAATTAAAATCCTTTTTATCTTATTTCAAATATTTTGTCCATAATTATAAGATTTATTTTACCATTTATACTTTATATTAAAATTTCAATTTTTATATTTTTATATAAATTTTATAAACCATTTAATAAAATTAAATTAAAAGTCATACTTTGTTCCTTTTTACAATTTCCCCATATTTTTTACTATTTGAAACTTTTATATGTTTGTATTCAAGTCTTTTAAATTTTCTATATGTTTTTATTTTTCTGATTCGCTTTTACAATATAAATTCATTTTCAAATAAATTTGAAATTTAATTTACAAGTTTCAAAATTTTATTTTTCTTTTATTTTTATTTTATTTATTGTTGCCTAAGCATCATCATAGCCTGGATAGAGTACCTATATCCTACACCCAGATGTAGGTACATCCAGCCCAATTGAAGAAGACAGCCCATTAACTAATATAGGCCATTTTATTTTCGGTGGCATTTTTGTAATTTAAGCAAAAAATCGTGGCTTCAGCTAAATGAGCATTAGTGTACTTTTAATGAGTATCTGACCTATTCTAATGAGTATTAGGAGGCTAACAATGAGCATCACGATCTCTGGTTCATATCTTCAAATTTAATTTTTTTCTTCTCTTTTATTTTATAAAAACTTGTTAAATTATATCTATAATTCACTCCTATGAATTTTAATATGCGAATTTAATGTAATATGATATTTTCAAAGTATGCATTGATATGACATTTTAAAAATGAGTGTAACACTAGTACGAAATGAGCATTCATAACTTACAAAATGCTCATTCATATGAAAATTGTAAGGTTTGTTAGTATTTAACATCACAGCATTTTCATTGAGCATCAAACCTATTCTACTGAATATTAGAAGTCTAACAATGAGCATCGTGATCCCTGCATTATATCTTCTTGTTGAGGTTTATTCCCGAAGATCCGAAAGCCCAACACAAGCCTTGGATATTGTAGGGATCTTGGGTAGGGTTGAAGTGTGTGTAAAATATAAAATAGTGAAATAGTATCCAACTCAAGAACTTACTTATATTCTGTAATTAAGCAATTACACTGAAACTACCCGAACGGTAGATGAATATGAGATTACAAGGATGGGAGATGTAAATCTATTGCTAAGCTCTGAGTATTAAAATGCTAACCCTTTACAATGATCTAAACATGGGTATTTATACTAAAATGGGGATGGGTAAGGTGGACACGTGGTCGAATCTGGTAGGCTATCACCTCTGCCATGTAAGCACCCATGCCCCCACTTGCTGCCGCCATGATCCAGCATTAAATGCGGCCTCCACTTGCTGATTGCCCGTTCGGTCAAGGTGTTCGGTGTGTGGGACCCCGCCATAGGTGATAATTTCTACCTGAAGTATCCCGAACGCCGATCGATATTTGGG